CTCCCCTCCCTCTCCCTCGCCTACATTTACCAAATTGCAATATCTTGCCCTCTTTCTCTCTGCCGCACTAATAACCCCCCGCTGTCCACCTCGCAATTAATGTCATCGCTGTAGCTATTAAACACCAACAACAAAGGATATGGACGTCTCAGCACTTGCGCCACGCGTACGGTCGATTCTGCAAGGGTCGGACTTGGCGACGGTCTCGGCAAAGAAGGTGCGGCGACAGCTGGAGGCGGAGCTGAACATGTCGCTGGATGCCAGCAAGGTGCAGATTGACAAAATCATCATGGATCAGTTCCACCAGATCCACAACGAAACGCAGACGCGCCAGCAGCAACTCCAGCAGCAGCAACAGCAGTATGCGCAGCAGCACCAGGCGCAGATGTCCATGTACGGAGTGTCGCCCCAGATGGCCGGTCTACACGTGCCTCAGGGCGGCTACCCTAACATCATACACCACCCGAACGCAGCAGCAGCTGTTGCCGGCATGGGCCATGGAGCCCCTGGAATGATCCCAGGTGGCGTCGGTGCTTCTGGAAGTTTGTCGCCAGACGCCGCCCCACGCAAGAGAGGCAGACCTCGCAAGCCCGAGAACGAGAAGAAGCAACACAGGAAGAAGCGCGAGGTGGATCCCAACAAGCCCAAGCGGCAGACGGGTCTGTCAAAGCCCATGAAGCTTTCGGCGGACTTGAGCGCGTTCCTGGGACAGAAGTACTGCGCGCGCACGGACGTTGTCAAAAATCTGTGGAAGTACATCAAAGAAAACAACATGCAGGACCCCAGCGACAAGAGATATATTCTGTGCGACGACAAGCTCAAGAAGCTCTTTGACACGGACCGCTTGTACATGTACACGATGAACAAGCTCCTCAACCAGCACTTGGTCAAGCCGACACCCGAGGAAAACGCCGAAGCCATTGTGCTCTTGGGTCTCCCGCCCACGCACCCTGCCGCAGCCGACAGCGCGGGCATTATCCACGGCGTCACTGCTGGCGGAGATGCCAGTGCTGCCTCGAACAACAACGATGATGCGGCTGCGAAGAGCGAGTCGAGTCCAGGCAGCGATGCCGGCGCGTCGGCAGTAAGTGAATCGCACACGGCTGGCAGCGACGACGCAAAGCACGACACCAGTGGAGCAGCGGATGCCGATGATACCCAGCAACCTCCTGCTGGCAGCGACGGTAGCGCTTCGGCTGCTCCTTCGGCAGCGCAGCAACCAGCACCGGCTGCGACTGGCGGCAGTCCCCAGATGACACTGCCACCACAGCCATCGTCCTCTGGCGTCAATGGCAGCAGCCAGTAAGGGCTCTTGCCAAAGCAAATAACAACATTTAATTATCTCTAGCAAAATACTATTCTTTTGGTGTATCCTTTTGTCCTGTTTCTTTCCTCGGTCTCTATTCTCTCTTTTTCTCGCTAATTGGCCCCCCCGCTTTTTATTCACACCTCACAAGCCGCACACGCCGCCGTTTCTTTTCATTGGCAATCGCATATCCTCACGTTTTTTTCTTAGCACACGATGATGTCACTACCCTCTACAGCAAGCAATGGCCTCGAGATCCCGGGAGTGCATCTATGTATATGCGGAAACCCAAGGGACCAGACTGGATACCGGATATTGTGCACGCTGAGGGTGCTTTCTTTTTGAACCTCGGTGTCCTTTGTCTGCCAGTGCAGCAAAGTCTTGCCCCGCATACCCGCAGTGCTCTTTTGTTTTCTTACCATAGAATAAAGCCTTTGCAGCTCTTTTAATGCTGCCGTTGCAAGCCCATCCCATGCCCTTCAATAACCCCTGCCTATTATTAGCCAAAGAGAACAAGGCGTGAGTTTCAGGATTGAGACTTGAGTGTACAGCCCACATGCGCTATTTTGCACGTAGAGTAGCGCTGGGACCACTGCCAAGCTCGCTTGGCAATCGCCCTCGTAGCGTTATATATTCAGACATGTCTTCCACACCGCGGCATGTCACCTTGCTAGATCCTCTCTCCTCCTCCCTGCTTTACTCTGCATACATCTATGCATCGCATTTCATCCACCCTTCATTTTCGCATATTCCATCCTCATTGCCCCCTTAGATTTGCACACGCACGCATATATACATAGCATACATTTCATTTATCACTGACAGACATGGACAATCCATATAATAGCCGGTATCCCAATGGAGGTGGAAACGACCTCAACGCTGTTCGTGCGAGGAAAAGTAGTCTGGAGTTAATTTGCTGGGAGGAGAGTGGTCTCGCTGCAGAGAAGGACGCCAGCCCGCTTAGCGAAAAGAACTCCAACCCTTTCAGCGAGAAAAACACGCAGTCCCTGCCGCCGCCTCTTGTTCCATCGTATCAGCCACAGCCACAAGATGCAATGCCGCCACTGCCTGTGCAAGTCGCTGCTGCCAATACTCTGCCGGCACTGTCCACCATATCGCCATACATTGGACTTAGAGCCAAGCTCTCACGCGCCTGGGCAACGCACACTGTAGTGCTCCTTTTTCTGACCGCCGTCATGTTCATCTTCAACGCTTTGGAGGCCCACGAGAAAGCCAACAGCGCCATCCAGCGAATTCACGATGGCTGCATGAACGTGCAGTCCGCAACCGATACCGTAGTCAACCTCCCGCGCACCCTGGCAGTGGCCACTGTGTCAGGCACACAGAAGGCCACGCAGAGCATCATTGACATAACTGGCCGCTCACTCACCAGCCTACTGTCGGCGCTGGAGGACCTGATTGTCTGGGTCATCAAGATGTACTTTGGCACCACACTGTGTATTGCCGAGGTGCTTATCCACGCGGCACTTAGTATTGTCGCCGACGCCGGCAAAATTCTGACCGACTTGGCGAACAAGACAGTGAATACATTGCTTGGCAGCTTGCAAAAGGCAGGTGTTGGGCTGGCTAACATCGCGGATTCGGCTGCCAACACTCTTGGCGGCATACTTGGTTCCTTGACAGGCAAGGATACGCCGCATGTAGACCTTGCCAACGAGATTGCCTCAAAGAACCTTACGATCAGCATTCCCGACAGCTGGGTCAACAGCATCAAGGACCTCTCCAGCAAGATTCCCTCGGAGGACGAGATCTTTGGCAACTTGACTAGCATCCTCGACAAGCCCTTCGGCAAGCTCAAATCGGCCATCACCGACTCGTTTTCCAATGCCCACATCAACATCACCGGGAAGGTGGACTTCCCAAAGAAGATCAGCATCGAGATGTGCGATGGCTCCTTGGGCAAGGACACCATCAACGGACTTGCGCACGCTGTGGCCACAATCATGTACATCGCGGCCGGCGTACTGATAGCTGTGGCGCTTGCTTTGACCATCTCGCAAATGATGCTTGTTGTGCGCCAGCATATGGGGTTCAGACGGCGGCTGGCTCAGTTCCGCCAAGACCTGGTGGACTATATGCCGTTCCGCGACTCGTTGCAGCGCCTGTCGCAGCCTGCAACGCGTGCTGAAATGGATTTGTTCATGCTTCCTGGGAACTCGGTGCTTAATATGGTCACTCGGTATGTGAATTCGAGGTTTGGTGGCTCTGACCGAGTGAGCATATGGCGGTGGTACTTCCACTACATCTGGCACCCTCCCTCCTTGGCCTGCTTCGCCGCCGGATTTTTGGGACTCCTCTGCATTGGCGCCCAGATCCACGCAATCAACGGGCTGCGTGGCAAGTACGTGCCCCGGCTGGCTGAGGATATCAACAAGTTCCAGTACGACTACTTGGGCGGCAAGATCCTGGGCAAGGTACACAACGACTCGGTCATTCTAGCAGAGAAAATCAACCACGGCATCGCTGATGTCGAAGAGGGGCTGAACCACACCCTGTTCTCGCCAGTCGATAGCGGCACCAAGGATCTGAACCAGACGCTGGATACCGTGGTTGCCGGGTACATCGATATCATCCGCAAGATCTTTAAGAACACGCCGCTAGATGAGCCCGTCGAGGGCCTTGTGAACTGCACGGTGACCAAGAATATCCGCACAATACAGAAGGTGCTCACATTCGTCGACAACCACATGGGCGGCGTCAGTATCCCGCGAGTGGGCAACGATATCCTGACGGATCCAGCCAAGGAGGCGCTGAAGCCGGTCAACATGACCGCCAATGCCCTGAAGAAGCTGGCTGTTGGAAAGTACATCCCAAATGCCGAGCACCTGAATCCGAAGGATTTTCCGCCGAAGAAGGACCTCAAGAAGAAGCAGAAGGAGGAGAAGAAAGAAGAGAAGGAAGAAGAGGAGCTGGACGAGGTAGAGGAGGAGAGCTCAGAGAAAGCGTCTAAAAGCAGCAAGAAGGCTGCTAAAAGCAGCGAGAAGGCAGCAAAGAGCAGTGGGTCGTCAGAGCTGCCGTCGCCTACATCTGCTGTATCCGAATCGTCGCTGAGCAGCGACAGCAGCAGCAGTGTCTTAAACAAGCGCGACGAGGCTGCTGCAAGCTCCAAGTCAGTAGCAACCCTCAATACCGAGAGCCCAGAGACCAAAGCATCATCATCAGCCACTGAGACACTGCCGCCGTCGTCGTCGCCGTCTCCTACTGCTGCCACCTCCACCACTGCTGCCAGCGGAGGTGAACCCGAATCATCGGCCTTTTCGACAAAGACCAAGTCAAAGTCAAAGTCAGAGAAGCCTACACCAACAGTCGAGTGGTCTAGAGAGGAAGTGCAGGACGCAAAGAAGTACCACGGATACACTGGTGGTATAATTGGTGAGCTGTGCGATAGCTATGTCAAGAAGCTGAAGAAGCACATCCCTCTGATGGTTGCTCTGATGTCGGCGTGGCTGATCATTGCAATTGGCGGGCTCATACGCGTGTTTGTTTGCCTTCACAGACTCAAGAAGCAACCTCCATACACCAAGCAGTTTGACTAAACCATGCTACTGCTTTTCAGCCACTGTCTTCAGTATAGAGTAAATATTTGTTGCTATTAATAGCACAGTTGACACAACAGGCTACTTTGATTTAAACTCCGAAAAACAGAGGAGCGAATCGGCTCAGAGAACTGGTCAGTATGGCCGAGTGGTTAAGGCGCCGGACTTGAACGCAAGCACTAACTAAGTGCTGTGAGCAATCCTGTGGGCACTGCCCGCGCAGGTTCAAATCCTGCTGCTGACGTCATTTTTTTGCTCAACCCTCCCAGCGGTGTTGTTTTTTTTCTTGCTTTTTGCCTTCCACACTGCCCTTGTGGGTTGCGCACTGCACCAACTGGGATTTATTGATACTCTCTACTCGTCAGTGTCGCTGTCCTCATCCAAGGGGCTAATTCGCGGGGATAGCTCGCCTACGTCTTCCAGTGCGATGCGCTTGGAGAGCCTTGGAAGCGTGATGTTGCATACCCACGATTCGTGCAGCAGGCTGTCAGCAAAATCATCCATGTGTGTCAGATCGTATGAACCGTCCGACATTCGTCGCCGCAGCTTGCGGTAGTCCTTGTACAGTGGTTCGAGCGCACGATATATCTCTATCGACGACTCTGTCAGCCGCAGGTAGAACACAGCAAGTGCCCGTAAGTATTTAAAGTCCTCCTGGTTGATCAGCTCGTCCACGATCGCTCGATCGGGCTGCAGCTGGAGTAGCTTCAAAGCCAGACATAGAAACTCTGTTGGCTTGTCGTTGGCGCCGTAGCACCCGCCAATGCTCGAGATATCGGCTGCTTTTCCCATCACGCCAGTGACTGTGAGACCAAAGCAGTGTTCTTTCCAGTAGAGCGAGTCATAGATGCGGTGCCGTATAATCTTGTCCACCAGGTACTGTGGATTGGTGCCGTGAACGGACACAGCCGTGCTAACTGTCCTGTTTGCCATTATTATTTCTCAAAAACAACAAATGCAGCAAAGAAAGGTGAGAGAAGCGCGAGAGCTGGTTCTTTCCAAGCCAGGTAGAATAAAATCAATTTCTGAGCTGATGCAAGCATCAAGCAAACATGGAAAGTTATGGCTGGCTGCTGTTTTTCTTGACAATGTCTTTGCTCAGCCCAGTCCTGTTGCCAGTCGACAGGACGATTCCAGCAATGCCTAGCTTCTTATGCGCACTCTCCAGCACCTCGCCATACTGGTGCGTGGCGTTGGACGATGTGAGCGACATCTGCTTGCGCTCACGTTCACGCTTCTGCATCACCTTGTCAATCTTGTTTTTGCCGCTGTAGTTGCCATGGAACACGTGCGAAAGCTGCTTGTACGCCTCCTTCGTCGTCAGTTGTCTGCCTGTGTCGTCAACGTACTCAAGCTTGACTTCCGGCTTGTAGTCCTTCATCCGCTGCTCGTACTCACGCGCCCACTTGCGGTCCAGCAGCTCCTGCTCGCGCGCGCGCTCCTCCTCCAGTTCGCGCTGTGTCATGGCATCAGGCTTGCCACGGCGGCCACTTGAGCTGCTCTTCTTGTCTTGAGGCTGGCGACCCATCTGCTTGATGCGCTGGCGCTCGATCTGGAGTTCTGCGTCCTTGCGCCGCTGCTCAGCGATCCACTCGTCGCGGCTGCGCTGCACGCGCTCCTTTTCCTTCTGCTCGTCGCTGAGCTTATCAATCATGTTTCTCTGCTTCAGGAAGCTCAATGTAGCAAAGAGGCTAGAGCCAATCGAGGGCTCCTGTTCTTCATGGAGGATGCCGGCAGGATCGACTGCAGCATCCTCCTCATTCTCCGCGTTGGCACTTGCCGAGGTGTGCTTTGCGCCTGCCTTGCTTGTTGACGCAGCGAGCAAACGCCCCTTGTGAGCAGCAGCAGGGGTAGGAACAGCATCATCTGCCTCAGTAGCCACTTGACGACCTCTTACAATGTGCGCCTCTCCGTCATCTTGCTCTGTTGCTGGTGCCACTGCTTGTTCTTTTTCTTGCTGCCTGTGGAGTGGTGCTACTGGGGGCTTGCTAACTGCTGCAGCGAGGCTCTGCACAAACTCGATGGTGCTAGATAGCACCAAGCCAGACTCGGTGTTGCTGCTACCACCATGCTCGCCATCCATGGTGTCCATTCGCGACTTGGCATCGTCGCGGACTTGCTTAGCGACATCCTCGGCAGTAGGAACTACAGCGGCCATCGCGCCAGCCTTATCCTTCTTCATAGACTCGATGCGCCGTACACTGGCAATAGCCCTCTGGAGATCAGCATCATCGTCGATGAAGTTGGAGTCGTCGATCTGCGTCTGGCGGGCGAGGATAGAATTGACACGGTCGACATCCATAGCCTCACCGCCAGGTGTCGAGCTACCAAGCTCTGTGTCATCCAGCAAGTCGTTGTTGGTTGACCTCTTTCCATTCCGCCTTGATCTTTTTCCATGTTTCTTCTCCTTCCCGTCCTTTCTAGCCTTTTTGGGCTTGCGGAACATCGACGATGCCTCTTCCTCGGTATAGAAATCGCTGATAGCCTGTGGCTGCTGCATCTCTAGCGGTATAGCGCTCTGACCAAGTCGTTTCTTGATCTCCTGCTGCTCGCGCTCCTCAGGAGTCTCGTCATCGATAATGCCGCCCTCATTGATAGTCAGCGCATGGCGCTGGTGATTGCTATCCCCGGTAATGATGTCACCAGGGGCGTCTAGCGCATAGGGCTGCAAGTGCTTCCTGTTCTCTGCATTCTTTTTCGCTCGCTCGGCATCCGCCAACAGCGTGCTCTGCAGCTCGACGCCGTCCTCCTCCAATTCGTCGATAGTCCTGTCCTGAAGGGTCAGGACCTGCTCTTCGCCTGCAGAGATATCAGCAACGCCGTGGGCGACCTTCAGCCCAGCCAAGTCATTCGCTGAATACGTTGCAGCAACAACTCCGTCTTCTTGGCGCTTCCCAAGTGCTCTGTTTTTTGTCTGCTTGGGTGCTGCCTCTCTTTGTCGCCGCCTACTCCGCTCTATCCACCTTAATGCATCAATAGATTCGTCTTCGTCTTCGTCATCAAAGGCTTGGCCCAGGGTCCGTGTCTGTTTGAGCTTTCGTTGCTGGTCGCGGGCGGCTTTGGATTTCTCTACACGCTCGCGCAGCTCCGCGGCTTTCCGCTCCTCCGCCCTTTCCGCTTCTTGCTGTTCATAGTTTATGCGTGCCTGGTCGCTTTGTGCCGACTCCTTGGTCTGGACCTCAAGGGGAGCCAGGCCGAGGGAAATGCGCAGCTTGTTTGTCTCCTCAATCGAAAGCGATATTTCGTCAGACATCCTGTATTAGTATTGTAGAAGCTAAATGCGAATAAATGAGGCTACAAGACGAGAGGAGCACATGCCTTCCCTAGGCTGGCACATGCGCAAAAAAATATTAGCGGGGCTTGGCGCTGCGGCTCGCTTTGGCTCGCTGCCCTTGTGGCTCGTCATCGCGAGCCTTATGCGAGGGGATTAGGGGGCGGGAGTTAAGCGTTCTCCTCATATTGGGAGCATTGAATCGCCGCATGCGCTGTCTGGGCATAAAGGACATTGGGATACTTTCTGTTTTTCCACCTTGTCCGCCTTCTCCGTTCCTGCATTTTTTTTTCACATACGCACACCTATTGTCACAAAAGAGCAAATTTACCGTTGCTGATTAGCAAAAAAAGTTACTATTATTGCGAGTGCAAATTTCAGGCTGCGCCGATATACTCTTGTTTGCTATTCTTCTATCGAACCAAAAAAGAGAAGCCCGATATGGAAGAGCAGTATCAGCTGTGGAAGAGGCAAGTCATCGAGCGGCGTGCATCAACCTACAGCGGGTCAGCACAGAGCCTTGGTGGAGAGACCCTGGCTAGCGTGGAAGGCCGGCTGAGCTACGAGGATTTCAAGGCCGCTGTCATGCAGGGGAACGACGGCGGCGAGTTGCTCAACTACGTCAATGCGCATGTGATCTTTCAAGCAGGAGTAGATTTCGAGAGCAAGCCCATGGTTGTATTTTGCGCCTGCAACCTGCCCAACCCCAAGGTTGTGGACTACGACCGCTTGTTGAATCTGATCATCTTCCGCCTGGATGAGTTTGTCGAAAACGACTATACGGTTGTCCTGTTCACCAGCGGAGCCAAGTATAACCCCGGATGGAACTGGCTCTCAAAGGCGTACAAGAGATTGGATAGGAAGTATCGGAAGAACGTCAAGAGCATGTACGTCGTGCACCCGTCGATGTGGTCGAAGCTGATCTTCCAGATCTTTGGCAAGATCGTCAGGTACGTAGCTGTCCTTTGACTCATTATATGTGCTGTGTGCTGTGTGCTGTGGTTGTGTAAATTCGCCGCGTGTCCGCGATACACCAGCCCCATGCTGTGGGGGGAGGGAGGGAACGAGAATGCGTGGGATAAGGGGGGCCATGCTGCTCTTGCTTGCTGCTGCTTGCTGCTAGCTGCTTGCATCTCCATACATCAAACGGCTGGCCCATATGCGCTATGGCCCGTGATCAGCCAGGAGCTCACAAAAGCAGCCTGCAGATCAGGCAGAGGCTCTAGACCGCGTCTTTCCATTTCATGTGTACAAAGCGCATTTTCCGAAACAAGGTGGCTTGCTAAGCCGTATGCATTGCCCGCGGCCAAAGACACAAACAACAAGCACATTGCCTTGGATGTGCTATGCTATGCTATTTTCATTTTGGTTCCATCCCGTCGCTTGCACTCTCCGGCTCCATACAGCCTGCGATTGTTGTAGTCGCTGCTGTGCTGGCATGAAACCCCTCACCCTTTTCCTTGCTCCGCTCCTCCTCCTCCTCCTCCTGCTCTTTGTGGCATGTAGGAGATGGCACTTGTGCCTCTGTGTTGAGATGAGCTCAAACTCGCCTCTTTGCACCCTCTTCTCTACGGCCCTTCCCTTCTCCCTCTTCGGCTTTCTCCCTACTCCTGCACTCTATCTGCCCGCCCCACAATACTCGCACCAGCATACGCCATCTCGCTGGAGGCGTACTACTATCATTTCTGCTTTTTGCCAGGTTTCTTTTCCCAGGACTACACTACTCCCCCCACACATACACACATTTTGGCTAGCTGACAGGTGTAAAAAAAAGCAGCCTGTGGCCACATCTCACGCGCGATTCCACTCTACCGGCCACTCAGCCAGTATCAGCTCCCTCCAAAGAAGCAGTAGAGCCACTTGCTAGTTCAGCTTTGCAGCAAAAGGGCTTCGTCCTTTTTTATTACACTCTGCTTCCTTCTATCTGTATTCATATTATACTTATTCTCTTGTACTTCTCGTTCCTCCCCTTC